AGAATGCTTTTTGTTTTTTTTTTTGGCGGTTGATTGATGACTTTGAGAGTGAAATTTACAATATAACAACTCTGAGACAGCTATTAGTACACCAAACACCTTATCATATACACTCACTTTTATTATTTATTTATATATTCTTCTTTATTATATTTTCACCACCTATTTTGTGTGTTTTTCTTCTTTTATTTTTTTTTCAAAATTTGAATCTTTTCTTTTATGTCACGGATTTGAATTTTGAATGCGGGGAGCTATCCGTTTATGAAATACTACAACAAGAACAATACAAATGTCATGAATGACAATAAACTATATTATATACTGTACAACATTTATAAAAATAACTTTGAATTTCAAGAAATACAACCTCTATTATATTATACTATGCACTTTTTTTAAAATACTATTAGATTAAAGACCCGCAAATAAAGTTTCAATTGTTTTATCATTCCATATTCTACTAATAATAATAATAAATTGCCTCCAAGCTACAATTTTGTATTTTCTCATGGTGAACAAGAGTACTAACTAGTTTCATAAAATTTAAAATAAAATATGTTTGGTGTATAGTTTTTCTATTAAAAAACAAGTGTCTAGAAGATTGTCAAATCACCAAAACCACAACCCAATTAATTTGTTATCTTATTTGATCACTTGTCTATAAATTTGTATAGTTGGTAAATAATCCAACATCTCAACTCTCTATATAGTTTTTTTTAAGAATAAATCTTTGTTTACTTATCGAATTTAAATTCTCATTTTGTGTAACAAAATTAAACGGCAAGTCTCTAATGTTTATTTTTTTCAAACATTTCGACGATGGTAAATATCCAAATAACATACGATATACTTTATAGGATAGCAAAATGTCATGAATGAAATCTATAATCATTGGATTATGCAATTCTCATCAAGAACGTGCCACTTAGTGTTACGGCACGACTGCTAAATATCAAACCTTTTCTTCTTCTTTTGATTTCGCATTATGATTAGTGATTTCGAAACATAGAGCATCGAGACCAACGGGACGTGCCCGACTCTAACTAAATCAACCAATAACCATCTGCCATGTCACTGATTGTCCCATCACCTAATCATAATCACACCAGACGGTAGCTTTGTATAATTATTGATAAATTTGATGAATCGTAATTAGTTGCTAATCGGCACTATGTGTTATTTTAATCAACTCCAGACGGTACAATTATTTTACTATGTTAGCGAATAAAAATGTGTACAACTGAATATAAAATATACATAGTTTATAGGGCACACTATATTTCAATTAAGCTTCTATTACCTCTAATTACATAAGCAAAATTAGTGAAATTTAAACACCCAATGACCGTAAGAAGTTTTGGAAAAAAAATAGCGAGACAATTTATAATATTTTCCCATTTAAGCACTCATATTCTTTACTTATGATAGTATAATGTAACTACTATTTGGAACTGATTGTATGATAAACTTAATATATGGGTAAAAAAAAATACGTAGTAAAGGTTTATAGGATCAAAACTACCGAGAGAGATTAGAGCAGGTAATTGCGGAATTATATGAAGAAGAACGGACAGATTGTGGTGAAGGTTGGTAACTAATCATGATTATCAAAGAAGTTAAGCTTACAACTCCACTTACCAACTCTTAACCAAACCAGTAGTTTAACCAATCCCACTTCTAACCATCAACTAAATCCAATTCATTATTATTAAAAGGAAATTAATGTAATCATCAAATCACAAATGAAAGATTCCTGCAAAACTTAAAAATCATTATAGCTTTCCATTTTCCAATAAGCTGATAAACAACGTTTCTTTAATTTTATGTCAAATAAAACATTTGGCCCAGTAACTCCCACGAGACCAAGCCCATTAAAAACGCATAGGCCCATTATGCTTAAAATTTCAGTCAACAAATCTAAAGAAAGCACAACAAACCTTTGGTTTCAAGAAGAAGTTCTCCATTGGAGCTCAATTTGAATACGACCATTCTTGGAATCAATCAGATGATACTTGTCGTTAATCCTCCGATTACTCACAACATCACCAAGATTTATCACCACGTATCCAAGAGCTTCCTG